TAAGCTTATCAAGAAAGAATACATATTGATTTGTCACACCGAGGTTTAGGGAAGGTCGGTTTCGAAATATTACTACGCTTTGTGCTAGCTGATAACACACCGACCTCTGCACGATGTGCGCAATGATGTATGTCCGGAAGAAATACAAGTTGTTACCACCGGACATTGTCATTATATATCCACCATCAGCATCGTGTATAAAAGGGCATCACTGAGTGAGGATGCCTCATTCGAGAAGATGGCTCGCTGAGGAAGATCTGGCTCGACAGGAAGGCGAAGACGCAACGTCGAGGCGAACAACAAGCATGGACCATCGACTCGGATCACAGGCTCTGAGGAAGACGAAGACGTCGAAACGTTAGCCGAAAACAAATATATTTATCAACCTCGTGTAAGCTTATCAAGAAAGAATACATATTGATTTGTCACACCGAGGTTTAGGGAAGGTCGGTTTCGAAATATTACTACGCTTTGTGCTAGCTGATAACACACCGACCTCTGCACGATGTGCGCAATGATGTATGTCCGGAAGAAATACAAGTTGTTACCACCGGACATTGTCATTATATATCCACCATCAGCATCGTGTATAAAAGGGCATCACTGAGTGAGGATGCCTCATTCGAGAAGATGGCTCGCTGAGGAAGATCTGGCTCGACAGGAAGGCGAAGACGCAACGTCGAGGCGAACAACAAGCATGGACCATCGACTCGGATCACAGGCTCTGAGGAAGACGAAGACGTCGAAACGTTAGCCGAAAATAAATATATTTATCAACCTCGTGTAAGCTTATCAAGAAAGAATACATATTGATTTGTCACACCGAGGTTTAGGGAAGGTCGGTTTCGAAATATGATCAACAATGGTTCTTTGAAATCGAAACGGATGTTCTTCTCTGTCATCCGTAGTATGTAGTACCTACATTTAGTGATCTGAACAATACCTACATGACGGTTTCTAATAACTTCATTGCAAAACCTTCCCTGACAGATACATATAACAAATGGGAATTCTTGTATATGAAAAAATTCCAACACATCAATGAAAACAAATATGTTTACGACTTGCTGTTATGCTACCGTAATATAAAACTTCGACAGCATGAAGATCAGAGCTCTCAACAAGTCATTAAGGAATATTTTTATATAGGAACAAAATTGAAAACGTACAAAATACTCCGATGAGTAATGATGTTTATATGACATGAATGCTAACAACTACATAACCATCATTTAAATACATTACAGAGGTGACATGACCCGACGATCAGAAGTGGAATACGGAAACCATGTGCGGTAAACAGTGATAGAGAAAACATCGATCATGGTGACCGATCGAGGATTTAGAAGTTTTGCCTCAAGGATTGGCTAACTGAAGAGACACAGCTTGGCCTCGAAGAGAATTCCCCGACAACGACAACACAGCTTTTTTTGCAGCCTAGAAATAGATTTCTTATGGCGATTCCTACGACTTCAACCTTCAATAACATTGAGAAATTTGTCATCTTTCGAGATGAAAACTGATCACATCATGACTGGTGATGCAGTCAGTAAAATGCAAGCGACTTTACCTAAATTGAATTCAGGAACAAAAACCTACTGAAATCAAAAACCAAGTTTCACAGTTAAGTAAACTCGAATTCCTCCAAAGTATCTCAAATACAAGCTAAAACTGTAAGTGAAAAAAATACAAAGCGCTCACTTCAGTATTGGCCATAGCCAGCATGCACTCGCCGGTGGGTATGCCGTCGTCGCCCATTCGAATTCGTACTGAATTATGATCAACCGGATAACCACGGAAGAAACTGAGAACGTCCTCCATGGTCACATTAGATGGAAATCCACAACACGACAGCACTGTTCCCCGTGGTCCGAGTGAAGCTACGAAATCATCTGTGGCCGCCACTGGCTTAAATAACATGTACTCATGAAATTAGTCGAACACTATAAAAGTATGTGATTTTGTTTCGAGCAAATATGCGAACGTTACTTTGACGAAGGGAAAAACATGTGATAACAGATAGAAATCAGCGTAAAATTCACATGGTCTTTGTAAATGAACCGAAACTCTAGTTATGGCTGTTATCAAAGGTTCAACCTTTTCAACAAATCGACAATTACAACAGATTCTGTTTGTCCCCATTTTAATAAGTGGAACACTCATTGGAAAAAAGGTTTAGGAAAGCTGCGATTGAAACTTAGGTTCCGCGCTTTCCGTTTGGCTTTATGGGGGTATTTGGCCGAGTGGATTAATCATTAACTTGGTCTTTATAGACTCCGAAGGCTAAACCTCCGAGACGTTAGCTTGTGCGGAACAAATATCGTGCTAAAACCCCGTGTCTGCTCATCAAAAAACAGTAAATTATCAATTAGCGTTGAGGTTAACAGAACGTAGGTCCTGTGAACTATTTGCTGGTGACTGAAAAAGTTATGCAATGGTAAAAGCCCAAATAAGAACTGGAGAGCACGAGGAATCTGATTTCACCACACAATATACTCTGGATATGCATTTAAATCGAAAAAAGAACAACAATTTAATACTCGTACCATACCATAAAAAAGAATATGCAATAAATAAAGTTGAAAAAACCCTGGTAATTTCATATAACAATTGGCTCGATAGGTATTCAATTAAAATAGGCCTGTCCCTCTCAAAATACAACGGATATATGAACCCTTTTATAAATGGAACAATGTACTGACAAATGTCTAGTCCTACCTCCGGTTCGGGGCTTCTAGGTGCAGTCAAGTCGGATTTATGATTTTCAACATTTTCTATAGCATCACGGTCAGATCGCATTGCGAACTTGCTTTCCCTAGTATACATACCTCCTCTTCCTCCTAAAACTTCCAACAGTTATAGTATCACGTCTTTCCATTTTAATGCCTTTACGACAAGAATATCACCAAATTACATTCTACAAATCAAATATGCCCTATATTTCCTACATAGTAACCTTGATAACAAGAGTTGATTTCAATTAGTAACTATCAAAAACAACAAACTACATCTGAAACGAAAAATGTACCGAATGCACCACGTCCACGTCCTCTGGTACCACCCTCATGTGGGAAGGATGAGAATCCACGCCCCATACCTCTTCCACGTATTGCAGGACCTGAACCTTAGTAATCACTTAGTAGGTACAACATAACATTAACGAACTGATTAGTACAAACAGAATAAAATCTATAAAATAGAAAAGATACCTCCTATAGACATCAGAGAAGATCCGTGATGCGAACCACGGCCAAATGGTGCCACACCACGTGCTAGAAAAACATAGACTCAACAAAAAACAAAAATTTAGACATCTATTGAAAACGATAAGTATGAAGCCATACTGAGCAACTAAAAGAATACCAGTGTTACGCTTTATATTAGCTATATCGACTATATATGTAGACGAACCCGGTGCTGGAAAGAACACGGATCCTCCAGCAGGACCGCGAGCAGGAGGTGAATTAAAGTGAGACACTTCGTTCATCATCTGGAACTGAAAAACGCACGTTCAACGTAATTGGACTTGCATGAAACTGAACACGCTAATATATAACAAAGCTCCATATCCTCCATACGAATATATATATATACGAGAACTATTCATACCTTTTCATTGTCTTCCTTTCGACGTTCACCGTAAACGTCCTCAATTCTCATCAATTCATCTGCATGATCATTGTCAATATGACACATCCTGTAAATACCACCGTATTTAGCCAGAAACGTGATGATCCTGAACCAAAGATGAAAGGAACCAGAAAAATAAAACATGCGGTTACGAGTTTCTTAGCTCACTTCACAGTACGACCCATAAGCAGACGCTTAATGCCTTGAGCTCTCTCCATGAGTGACTCGCTCTCGAACTCAGCGATCCAACGATCAGATGCATTTCCGTCCGCGTAGAACGTACGAGTCACCTTTGATGGTCGTACTCTTTCGGACAGCCAGCTATAAATAAGCAACTGCCTAACAATTATGAAGTACACAAAAATGCACAAAGACACGCGCAGGAATATAGACCCAAATCTTATTGACCTGTGAAAAAAATATGTTAATTAGGTTTAGACGGTACTATGTGCCAAACTTCCCTGCATAATGAAAACCGAAATAGCAAATACATACCGTAGTCATTATTTAATGGATAAATATGCGCAAAACTTTAGTCGTTGTTGCTATTCGATAAACAGCAACATCTAGACTTGTAGTAACTCACTCAATTATTTCTGCTTCTGTGCACCGGAAAGGGACATTCGTTAACTGCAGGCACCATCGTGTCGAGCTGGTCGTCTGACGAGATCGCTTCAATGAGTGACTTCGCGAACCTCTTACGCTGCGTCGTTCACGGCTTCGTGACTGTGATCTTTAAAAGCACGCTTTTACTCTATAAACATACCAAAAAGCGGACAACGCCATACCTTTGTCGCTTACGAGGAGGGGAATCGCGTTTAGCGCGGCGCCGTTCCCGGCTGCGCGAGCGTGAACGACGTCGTGAGGGTTCCGAGTCTCGTTTACGGTCACCATTATCTACAGCTTCAGAGGTCTAAAGTATCACTAGTCAGTGAAGAATACCAATCGAAAAATAAACAGTACTGAGTACACTAACAACGAAGACACTTTTGCTTCAAAATTGAGATTTAGAGCTAATGCTACAAAATATTAACAGAAAAATAGCAGAACTACAACTCACCACAATTACGCCAGATGGAGGGCCATCTACTGCCTGTTCAAAATCAACTTTCGTCGATGGTCGAACACTTAAAAATGGTAAAAAAAAAATAAGCACTATTTCAATCATTTAAGGCTACATGAACAAGTGGAAAACTCTCTGACCGGATTCCTAACTCTCCATCCCTCTTTAGTACAGATTCGGCGTCAGAAGCATTCTCGAAGCGCACCAAAGTATGCATATGAATACCTAGATCAACTTTTGAGATAGTTTCCTGCCAATTATTTAATTCTGAACCCTTAATACAGGAGGAACTATTTAGTTATGATCATTACCTTGACTGCTGTAGACAACTTTTACAGATGAGATTTGCAAGGGGATTGATGGTTTGAGGAACTGCTCTAAGACGGCAGGACGCAGCATTTCTGTTGGAAGACGGCTAAGCTCTACATACCTTGGACCACTAAAATCACAACTGCTGTTTATACTTGACCAAAAAACAAATATTGACTCAAATAGTAACACTCGCCTAGACGAAGACCTAGGAACATTAGGTCCTGCTCCGAAGTTAGGTCCTAAGAGAGGCGTCCTAGTTATAGATGATTCATTGGCGGAAGGCCCTATTGGAAGTCTTGGTGGTATCAATGGGCGACTTGGCACCGACTCACTGGGTGAAGCACCTGGTTTCTGAGACTAAAATAAGTATATAGAAAAAAATTTATACACAATCATAAGTATCTGACTTACTTCTTTACTGAAGCTTTGCATAGGAGGTTGACTTATTAGAGGTTTGCGGTGCGGTGGCGCAGAACTGGAATTGTTGCGCCAATCATTCCTAAACGAAATGAAGTTAAAAGGTTCACTGAAGATGAAAGTGAAGGAACGAAAAAGTCCTCGCATGGAGAGTTGGATATCGGTAAGTATTACGCATGTAAAATTTGAAACGAAATAACTACAAACTTTTGCACATTTGCATCCCAAGAAGACGATCCATTTGAGGATGGTGGTGGGCGGTTGTCACCTCTCCATGAGTTAACTCCAGAAGAGAACGGGTGTGTAGACGATGATTGTTGCCGATTACGTTGCCCAGGTGGGACAGTATGCCCACCATTTGGGCGATTTCGACTGTCCGACGGAGGAATTAACGCGTGAGGACCTCCTGGCGATTTTCTGAATGTTGCTTAATAAATGAAATTAAAATTTAATATGTAATAAGGCTTATGTCGTTCATCTGGCTCTAGTGTTCAGTTTGCAAAAGTGCCCACCTAATATCTTCCTTCTGCAATGGAACTGGACCGTTATACTTCTCTTGATGATTCGTGGAATTATAAGTCGAAGTCTCGGAAATCTCGGTAGACCTGGTCGGCGGTGTTGACAACTGTGATGTCCCACGAAGTTGTGTAGGAGGTATTCCATACGGTGGTCTCAAATGTGGCGGTAACTGGCTACCATCCTTTACTGGCACAGTTGCACGCTTTTCATCTGCTAGATGCTGTTGAGGTGGCATTACACGATGCGGCATTGTCATACCAGTCGCGGTTGAACGGTTTACGTTTGCGGATGAATTTCGAGGCGGTGGTCCACCAAAAAATCTTGGCACTGTATCATATGGACGTGGCCCGGACTGATCTGCATAGTCCTCCTGTCTATACGACGACGACATATCATGTTGGTACATTTTGGTTTCTGACGGAAACTTCTTACTACGGGGAAATTCATCTTTCATTTGCATTATCGAAGACATACGATGTGCTCCTGGGTAGCTTTCTATTTCTGAAGAGTAACCTTGCTGTTTCATGATGTAGTCACAATTCTGAGGATGTTCAACTGGAGTATGAGATGGCTGCGATATATGCTGATGGTGTTGCAGTGGTTGTTGCTGTGGTGGACCGCGCATGTACAGAGGTTTGTTGAACTCAGCTGGATCAGGTGCAAAAGAGGATGGCTTAGTTTGTTGTTCAGCAATCACTGAAGGCACATACTGCTGCTGTAGCTGCATTGATTCATCCCAGCTGGGAATCTGCTCTATAAAACTGTTTGTTTCCATTTTGTTCAAAAGACATTAACGGGATTGAAAAACAAACCTTGCTGAACTACATGCTGTTGAGCCACAGGTACTACCGGTGACGGTACTCGCAGACCGAGAACTGCCGCCTTGGCTCGTGTAATTATGTCATTCATTTCGGCACGTGAAGACAAGTATAGCCGTACCTATACAGTCTCTATGTAATACAAGAATAGACTCCTCCGCGGTTTCATATTCTCCATCTTACGTACCGTCACATTAGATTGTAACCATAAGTAGTAACAAGTTATACAGTGGATGTTATTTGAATCTATTTTATGGTTTCTAATACATTGATATTATTCAATTTTTTAGGAAATTAATTTGTACCGAGCGACGCGTCCCTCGTTTTTTAGAGGCACACAGCACAGTTTAGTAGGGATAACACCTCAATCCATCGTTCCTTCCACAGTAATACCACTTATTAATAGAAGACGCACAATAAAAGATACATTAATTGTTAGCAATCCCTCTATTCAGATTCATTCAAATGCCAAAACGTCCAAATAATATTCAGTCGAGCTGATAGGCGTGATCAGATGTCCTTAATTAAACCCATGGAGAAGAATCTGCCTCGAAATGTTCCCATCAGCACATAAGAGGATTCCTTGCGAGGCACTGAGTCAGGTATTCTTATCAAAAATGCTTCTCAACAAAAAAAAGATTTAAGGAGTGAGGGAGGGATATACCGTCGATTACACTTCCACGTATCCATCTCAGAGTAACTATCATCATGATCAATACCGAGCATCATGAAAGTTTTGCGAAATCGAAATCCAGGAATTCGCGTTAAGTACTGAGTAAAGTATGCATGAGTTTCGTGCTTTTTTTCTGTTACAAGAAGATAACGTTTTAGGGAAATTCCTGGCTTGACCACACTATTTAGTGGCAAAATGACTAGATAAATATTGCTGATGCAGATCTTTAAGTGTGCCATATTGACAAACATTTCCTTAAAACAACGAACTCATCTGTCCCATATGTTCAACTCATTCTGCAACCTCATGATTTTTCAGTCTTCATATCACAGAGCTCGAGAGTAATCAATGTCTTCCTGTTCCAGTATGTTCCAGTATGTTTTATACTGCCAAAAAAAATATACCAAACTCATCCTCATGCAGTTATGACGCAGAAACCACTATCATCAGGACTCGAATTCATGTTACTAAAGTTCTCAATAACCTTGTACACTACCGTCCTTTCTGCAGAAGTAAACGTAGTTTTGTCACGTTACTATGTTCTAAGTGAGGCGAAAACACTATCTACCGTATCATCTAAATAATCTCGCTATGTGATCGATATAATGCCACAGTATTTCTGCACTGTCATCACCTGGCTGAGATCCACTATGATCACAAAAAATCATCAGGTTATAAATAAATAAGGAAACAAATGACTGGTTCCAACAAGCCTTTAAACTTAGGTATTGCGACACAAATACTGTCGGCTTTCTTTGGTTAATGCCATAAACGAGTGATAAAAAAAAGTGGACATACTGGAACAGGTAAACATTGATTACTCTCGAGCTCTGTAATACGAAGACTAAAAAACCATGAGTGCTAGAAACTAATACGATGATTCTGCGCCTCACTAATATTCTTTCTGTACTCTGCTACTGAAATTAACGCTTTCTCTGGCGGATAACAGAACTGTAATTCTATAAAGCTACCACTGTCAGAAGAGCACAGAAAAAAGGGTAACTTCTATTAATACTAACCACTACAATAGTGGTTGGAGGGCGACACGTAGAATCGATCCCCGCGCCCATGCTCCAAGTCTTCCGTCTCTCCGGGGTCGACAAATTGGTACCCGATTTGTCTGGGAGGATAGCAGCACAGGCTCGATACAACGGTAGGCCACCGCGAGTCATTTTAAAGGCCAGATATGCAGTCAACCACCTCAAACGATAATTAATGAAGTCGAATGTATGGCGCATCCCGTAGGAATCAACGCCGAGAAGCTTTCTTTATAGCAGTAAACGGGGGGCAGATAGCACAGTTGTAGTGATGCCTGCTATCATGAGCATGGCGCTAGTTCCATTCCGATCTAGGCCAACCAAGCCTCTCTTCCCTCGGGGGTCGGAAAATTGGTGCCGAACTTATATATGGGAAAAAAAAAACTATGCAATCCAACTAAGAACGCTCCAGCCTGGCTATCCCAGAACTCCAGGGAGACTTGTTCGACCAGCATTCTACGATATTCAAGATGAAATGAAAATCCTCAAGCAGCAAGCGAACCCACACGTAAAAACTAGGAAGGTCTTCGTGTACAATGGATGCGAGGGAACGGATCGAATGTGAGAAGTGCTAGGATCCGCACAGCAAAGGTGAAGATGAGTCATATAAAATAAAAATAAAAAATAAAAATAGTAGTGACCACCATATATGTAAATCCGGCACAAATAAATCCCAGAAAAAGTGGTTTTCTACCTTGTTTTCATAGTCAGGAACGCTCACGTTAGTGAGACGTGAACATAATTTTAGCACCCATACTAACTATTAAAAACCTCGTAACGTTTCCTTATAAGCCAGGAAATATCAAGTTGCTCAGAAATTGTCAAACTTGTGACTTCATATTCCTTGCACATCGGTTAGGTTTTTTTCCATATGCTGTACTACTACGTATTGGAAAGATCATTTCATGCATTTTCACCTCTTGAAACTGACTTACATAAGTTCCTGCTCTTGTCAAATTTTAAAGGATTGAATTTCAGAAGCAAAACAGCAACACCGACAAACCTACTTCTACGAATTCAAACTCGGATGTACTGCAGCCAAACGTCTCAGGACGTTAAAGAGGTATGGAGTTAAGGAAGTGTTAACGAATGCATCATGCAATGTTGATTTGAAAAATTTCACCGTGGCGAATTCAACGTTAGTGAGAAAGGTCACGGACACGAATCTGCTACAAACGATGATCAATTGAAGGTTTTGTGGCTGCAGATATGCATGCACAACTGTTAGAGAACTTCCAGAAGAACTTGGTGTTGATCTCACCATTTTTGGATCATTTAAAGAAAACTGGAAAATCGAAAAAGCTCGACAAGAGGTGTCACATGGACTGAACGACAACCAACGAAATCGCCATTCTGAGATGGCGTCGCTGCTTCTTCCGTGCAACCAGAAGGACCTATTTCTTGACCGCATTATGATTGCAAGAGAGATAGATCCCTCACAATAAGCCGCGATGATCGACTCAGTCGTTGGAACGCGATGAAGCTCTGAAGCACTTCAAAAACCTATCCTGCACCAAGAGCTCTCGCTAACCGTTTCGTGGTTTCGCGTTTGTTCTACCTATTGCAGATTTTTGAACCCAGTTGAAGCGATGACGCCGGAAAAGTTCGTCTAGCATTTGAGAAAGCACACTAGAAATGTCAACGGCTGTCCTCGTATTGCTCAACAGAAAGTGAGCAATCCTTCTGCGAGATAACGGAGAGCTGCACGCTGCAATGGTTGAACGATCTGCGGTGTACGCACCAATGCCCCAACCAGCATGTTAGACTGATCTCTTGTCTACCGACTATTACTTTAAGCAACTTTTTATCTCGATTAACATAAAATTTATTCTGTACTGAGACATGCCATTTTAGAAGTACAGCTTTACACCCGCCATTCATTTCCAGAACATCTAATATTAGCCGATAGACAAGTTAATACCTTCATGGCAAACTTCTTAGGAAAATGGTTCGAGAAACCGGCACCTTTTCATCTTGCTCTGCAAGTCATGGCCGTTTACGTCATTTAGTGTGATTCCCACATATTTTTAGCACTCGCACTATTTAGGAGAAAACTTGTACTACTTTATGATGAAAAAGGAAATACCTTTGATTCCTTGTAGATTCTCCGTCAAACATAAAATCGCATTGGGAAAAAACAGGGAGTTCTCTCGAGACTTAAAATAACTTCGCAATCTTATCGAGATTTCTTGTGACAAATGATAGATATCTGCTTGATTGATGTGGAAAGACAAAATAAGCCAAATTATTCCATTGGAAAACACTTAGATCTATCCTCTCAGGTGTGATTTTCTAAGATTTTGATGCTGGTTGTTCGCCAACTTTTGCTCTGCATAACGCCTGAAGCATGCCCTCTGGCACCAACCTATGCTATATCAATACCCGAGAATAAAGAAGCGTTTGAGAGTAAAAAGGCTGATGTACAGCCTTGAGACACCTCAAAACGTTTCGGGTAGAAATGTAAGCGTCTAAAATTCTTTTTTTGTTTAACAACTATGGTACTTCTAGAACAAAAATTTCAACTTACTTATGTGAACAAACTACAATACCACAAAGTCTCGACATATTTACGTATGATCTATAAACGCTAATGTAAGAGAATTAGAGTGATATTGTAGAGTAGGATACGAATTCTCCTCCCTGCACTACGACTACACGTGGGTTCGGTTTCAAAGTTAAGAGTGTGAAACACTTAAGTAGACGAAGTTTACATCCATTCGCAGAAAAAACTTTGTGGAGCAAATTGAAACCTTGACGAAGCTCTAGTCCTGTTACGCAGTTACTGAATCCTAGCAGAAGACAGTCTTAAACTAACGGAGATGACCACATACTTAGGAAATTCGGCCTCTATAATGTATAAGAACATTATCAAATTCGCAATAATGAGAACCTAACGTATCAGAAAGACGCGGTGGAAATTGACAAATTCGAAGTCGTCTTCTCTCAAAGGAACCCGTCATTTCCTTTAGAAGGCATCGTTATTTAGTGAGCAATCCGAATTTGTATTGGAAAGAATGCAGGTCTGAGACATTGACCCTCATTAAGCATCCATCACCCCAACCAATCGATTTGATTCCGAGGGTGTAATTGATCAACTTCCTTATTCTCAGAATAGAACATCACTTGCTCACGTTCATATTTTCAATCACCAGAGAACCCTTCAGTCCAAAAACTGTATGCGTGAAGGATGAAATCTTTGTAGAAATCCACAAGCTCGCGACTACAACCAGACCCTATGTCTCCTTCGTCGTTATTTGTGTTTCGTATCGTCCTACTTGTTAACGCTTACTATGAGCCTCACCTATACAAAAACCCACCTAAGTAATAACTACGTCGCAGATCATAAACATTCATCCTATACTTCAACATATTTCACATAAA